ACTGGGTGAACATAAGTATTAAAAAAAATGTCCTATGTTAAAATACAAGTTTATTCATCCACTACTGCAATTTCCCTAATTTGATTCATCTGGTGGTAAGCATTTATATATATTATAATTTATCCTGCCAATGTTTTCAATTTCCTTTTTGATTTTTCTGTGCTTCCTGCTGAAAACTTTTTTGCAATTTCCAACATTATGTTCCCATCACTTTACAATACTTTGTTTCTCTTTTAAGGTCATATATTTAATATGATCTAGGACAATTTGAAATTGATATATCTGAAATTAAAAAATAAATATTTTAAAAAAGATGTTCAGGTGAGATTTCTGGAGTAGACAACTCTATGTTTTCATTGATCTTAAAAATGTGATTTGTATTTTGCTGATAGGCTGAAATATTTTGAATTTTGTTTGAATTTATTTATAGGTAGGAATATTACAGAGTCCATGCAATCTAATGTTTGTTTATATATATAAATAAAAAGAGATTTCTTTTAATTTATAATTCACTAGTGACAGTGTTCACTTCCAGTTTTACAATCTTTCCTCAAGAATCAAAACCAGCAAATCCCATTTAAAACAGTTAATCTTAATTAAGACTGTTCTGGGATATTTTAAAAATTGAAATGAAGTTTTTTTTCTTCCATTTAAGAAAAGATTAAATCAAAAATCATTTCTTTTTTATTTTCTTAGTTTAGTTTGATACAAAGCTACAGTTGTAGATACAAACTGACGTACATACAGATATACAAAATACTTCACAGAGTTTTGAGAAAATTCAATAGTGCTGTAATGGGAGAGAGAGCTATGGAAGAAAGATTTATTATCCCATTTGTATTTCCCCTATTATGGGCATTATTTTATCTGTGATATAAAAACATGAATGAAATGGAATAGCTGAAAGGAAAAAGAATGACAAACATGCTTGGTTCTAAGAGAGTCTTTTATTCTACTAAGACATACACAAAACTATATATGCTTATATACATGGGTTGCACACAGAGAGCAATATATGACATGTATCTACACAGCAAAGCAGAGTGTAAGGAGAAATAAAAAGGAAGGGTCACATATAATATGGAGATACTTCTGTGTCTGGAAAAGCCATGTTATGGCTCCAGATTCAAAGTGAGTCTTGAATTTTCCCAAATTGAGGACTACAGGCTTGAATTTCATTCTATATCTGAGGAAAGATATATTCCCAAAGCAAAATGGCACCATGGATTTGTAAGCTACTAGGGAGACAGATTTAACCTCAGCCTGGCCCCAGACTAAAAGAAAGTAACCTTTTGCTTTGGCTGCCATGAACAAACTGACTTTGACTTTTGCTCTTGTCACTGTATGGATTGACATCACTAAGTAGCCATCATGTGACATCTCCACCAAAGGGAGATAATCGCCTATTGCATCACTACAGTGCTTATGAATGAAATATAGTATAGACTTTTGCTTGAAATCATAACAGAAGTATTTGGAGTTCTATATGAATTCACAAAAAAAAATTACTTCAAAGGAGATAGTGAAAAATAGGCATAATTTTTAATTTTTTAACTGGTTAACTGCTATGAATTTTTAGATATCACCTTATATATCTATATCATATATCAATATCTATTAATATATACATTAATATGTATTTCTCATGACGGATATGCAATGTGATTGGTCCTGACTTGGAGTCTTGACTCCAGTCACTTTCTCACTGATGTAATATAGCTTCCCTCTGTCTTTTCTATAAATATTTTCATGGCATCTACTCTGATGAGCTATTTTTCCTGGTGCCCTGACTGCATGTATTTAAGCGTGCTACTAGGTTGGCATCTTGGTCCCACCCATTTACTGTTAAAACAGCTGTAACTGCTTTTTCTACTCCCAAAGCTTCTTTTCTCATACTTCCCAACAGTAAAACTCCCTTCCTCTTACTTGCTTCCCTGATAATTATAATCTTCAAAAATTTAAATGTAATGTCAATTGACATTTTCTGTTGCTTTGATTCCTGTTCTTCTTTTTATCCTCCTCTGTTCTTCTTTTTATTCTTTCCTCAACCCCCACCTATACCCAGTCTCTTCCCTTATTTACTCTCTCTGTAGCTCCTTGCATACTAGTGGCACTCCTGCCTTGCTTGTAGTGAATTACTTAAAAAAAAAAAGGATACATTTCTATGCATCTACAAAAATCTCAAAAGTAAAATTCAAATTTTCATTTATTAAACTCATTCCCCAAAGACGCTTTTCTGCCGAGGAGAGTAGCTAGACACCCAGCAGGATTAAAGATAAGATCTATCAAAGTGCAAATGAACCTTCTTATAGGGTCAGCAGCTATCTAGCACTATGGTGTAGACTGCATTGTATGCAGCAAGTGTGGTGATGACACTTGATCACTGGGCAGAAGACTTCCAAGATTGAAGTAAATGACCAAATCAATAGGGTTGCCTTGATCAATGTTCACATGTCTATGACCAAAACAAGCCTTCAAGTTAGAGAGCATTGGCTGTAGCTTGACCTGGACAGAGATGTGCTCAGCCAAGTGTACTTGCCCAAGAAACACTATACATAAATTAATACCTCTCCAGCTTTCAACCCAGATATGTGCAGTAAGCCTATGAATCAATGAATAGAGAGGAGAAGGAGAATTTGTAACAAATATATAATTATTATATCTAATTATTGAAATTGAAAAAGTTGTAGTATTTATTTAACTTTGTATTTCAGATTTGAGATCCTGTTTTTATGCCATGAATTACTCAAACTAACATCTTTGTTTCATTCAATATTTGGGTCAGTGTACCTGCTCCAGATGGTAATCAGATCTGGTAGCCTGTACATAATTTGGCAAAGAATTATTTCTTTAGCTCAAATTTTTGTTATGTGGTTTTAGTTATTTTATTGATCAAAAATGTTCAATCTGTAAGAGCAAATAGCTTGCCACCATTTTGGTTACTTTCATGAATGTAACATCAGTTACAATCTAATTCAAATTAAATCAGTTTCTGATTCACACTTCATCAAAACTTGATGTGAATACTACAATAACAAGATTAAAAATAGAAAAGTTGCTCTTTGCACATAGGCACTGAGCATTGCATCTGCGTCACAAAACAAAATCCTAAAACATTAAAATAAATTAAAGAACTGATCAAGAACATTGCTGCATGACAAAATACTGATTCATGTATCTATCATGAGTGTTTAAAAAAGCCTGCTCAAATACCCTCAAAGAATTTTTGGCTAACTGACCTAATGTGAGGTTAAGGTTACCTAACCTTCCTTTACCATCAACTTCAATAAGAGGCTAGTACACAGCCTCATACACACACACCCAGTTTCAAGATCCTGATACTTTCATCCTCAAGTGTCACCCAGAAGACATTCTACCCTTGCTTCACTGTATACATTGACAATACAATTAATTTTGATTTAACATGTCTCCTTTGACTTCTGCCTCATTGGCAATACAGTATTTGCTTGATATTCATTCATCCATACACAGTGTATAACACAGCTTTTTGTTATTACTAAACCTTGTCTGGAAACAAAAAGAAGTAATTACATTCCATTTGATTAGTGCTGTTGGTATGCAAATGTTCTTCCATTTGTTATTGTGATGCTGATAACTGAGGTATAAATAAAAATAACAACAATTAGTACCAACAAACTCAAATATTTATTTGAATATAAATATATAACCTTTAAATATCTGCTATGGAAGAAGAAATGAAGTTTGGGTTATTTCAGGAACTGCCAGTGGACCAATCTCATCACACATCTATGTTCAACTGGACAAAATTGATCACTTTTCTCTTATTAATATGGAGATGAGCATGTATGATATGTAACAAATTGGGAGTTTTGATATTTTGCCTTATAATCAAAGTTACAGATTTTATATACAATGTAGAAAGGTGATTGAAAATGTTTTATTGATTGCTAACACGTTCAACTCATTGTAAAGTTCTGAGTTTTACAAACAAAATCAGTGTTAACATAGCAAATCAACAAAAATTAGAAGTAGGAAAAAAAAGGAGTTAAAAGTAAAATTAAAATTGTTTAGCTCCTGCTATTAGGAATATTTTGGATTTTTTTAATATATCTGCATTACCTATCCTTTTTCATATTGTATTTTTTTATTAAATCTGTATTCATTTTTTTAAATTACCATGTCATAATCTTCACTCCAATTATGACAATTCACAGATCCAAGTAATGTAGGCTCATTCTGAAATTAGGATTTTTTTGATGTACTAAAAAGTTAGTTTGAAAGCACAGCAGCTCACAAAATAATAACTGAAGAAACAACTGTTTCTTATTTGAAAAGATTTTCTGAACTCCTTCCCAAATCTATATCTGTATTTTTCAAGTTTTTAAATAGAATATATATATATTTTTAATCTAGTTTGTGGAATAAAAACAGAACTAAGTTAGCTGACTGATTAAAAAAAAAATGATTAAAAAAGATAATGGTGATATCATGAAAAGGTACGTTATCTATATTATCCGGAAGACATTATCTGCGAACAAAACCGGACCGGAAGTGACGAATATGGATTTGCTGAAGGGAGATAATTCATAGTGGCCAATCAAAAAAAGGTTTAGTGTCGATGCGGGTAAATAATAAATACATACATACGTAAGAAAATTTGTATGTATTGTGTGCATATCGGCGATTTACTTGCCGACTAACGGCAGACAAAAATAGCTACACGTAAACAATTATAGATGTATCTTTACATATACTACTTTAAACGCAGACAAGTGACGCAACTCTCTCAGAGTTGAGATGTAAGCGGCATGTGTAGTTAAATGTAGTCTATCACCGTACAACGGTACAGAATGGAGACTAATGTTCGCTTACCAAGAAGAATGCGAAGGTATTTTAGTTCCATCTGTGTACTGAGTGTGTTTGTGATGGTTTTTCTAGGTCCAGGGGCTATAATCTCAACCCTGGCTCAAGCATTAACCTTTTTAAATTTTGGTAATTTTATGGGTGCTATCGGGAACATGGTCCGTTCTCTGACTGGGTTCGGCAAAGGAGGACCTTGTCATTTTAAATGTCCCGACGGTAAGTAAAAAAAAAAAAAAAAAAAAAGAAGGAAAACCTCTTCTTTTTGTTGTCTTAATCTAAGAACAGTAGAAAAAAATATAAAAGCGATGTCTGAAAAATTCCGTCTGATGAGAAGATGATGTGAAACTAAAAAAATATTTGTTAACGAAAATCTTTATTTTTTAAACGGACCCAACTAACAAAAAAACATGCCAAACATAAATTTTAATCTTATTTCTTAGAATGATCATAATAATAACAAAATAATATCTAGATTTTTTCAACGTACAAAAAGTAATTTTATTTTCAGTTTTTGAATTTTTTCAAAGTTGTAAAAGGCAGTAAAGCAAAAACAAAAATGTAAGACTTTTGAAAAGTTTAAAAAGTTAGAAATATTACAAACCCTGAGCTGATATCCCCAAATTCGGTCATAACATTCAAATTAGCAAATTCAAATATAGGAATTGGTTTTTAGTACTTTTGCTTTATTTTTCTGTCGTAGTTTTTCAGTTGAAGATACAACACTGGTCGATATTTATTTATTTTTTTTTTTTTTGAAAATTAATAAAAAAAAGTTTTTTTTTCTTTCTTTTTTTTTCCCATTCAATTAACATAGAACAGTTTCTGTTTAAATATGAAAAATACATCTGTTTTGTTTGAAAGAAACGTCAACTGCAACATCATGCTCAGGAATTTGCTTAATTAATTTTTTCCCGGTAATTTTTTTTTTGTAATTTTTTCTGAAATAATGTGGTCACGTGACTAGACACACCTCCTGCCCCATGCTTAATTAACAAACGCTATTTTTTTTTTTCATTTTGAATCTGTATATTATGTTCTGGAAAAAAGAAAGCACTCTTAATTTTTTTTTTTTTTTTTTGTATACACGCACATATGCCTGTTGTAGTGACGTTTATAGCTGTTCTGATCTTTTGGCACCGTTCAAGGACATCTGATATTTCAAAAAAGACATAAAAAAGTTATCAGGTGTTGAAAATAACTCGGAGTTGTCCAGTTCTCTGCTTATGTATTCTCCCCTATGACCCCCACCCACCCAATAAAACATAATCGAAAGTAGTAAACTTTATTTCCTCGAATAGGGGAAAAGAAAATTTACCGATGTTGTCCACAAAAAGAAATGTTCGGATCTTCTGTTGGGTAAAAAAAAGCTACAATATTCGGACAGAAGCAAAAAAAAAAAAAAATTCAGTCTTAACAATAGCGGTAACTTTTTGTTACAGATTTTTCTGTCTGTATTTCTGAGATGATGTATTCTAATTATTTACATTGTTCGGACTGTTGGCCTCATCTTTGTTGTCATATTCACAACGTTTCGGCCGTTGTACGCTCCGACCTTCTTCAGGTTATTGGAATTTCGAACTGAAGCCTTTTTCGTCAACTGGGTAAATTGTTCTAGTTCCACATTACATGCCTCTTCTGGATGTCTCAGTTATTTTCCAACTTTGCGATATTCTTCCACTCTTACTTTAAGGGGGGCAGACTATTTCTCCTTTCTTACCACAGATGCTGCATGGGATGACATACGCACAGTCCTTAGTCATGTTCTCTTTTATAGGGGTGGGGTGGGGTCTTACTTGGAAGAGGTGTCTGCAAAGTGTTGAACTACTTTTGAAGGTCGTCCTGATGTTATATGGATTGAACAGATTTGCAAAGATTATTCTGAATGATAAATCTTTTCCCAAGATCACATTCTCCACATGTATTCTTCAGTTATAATGATAATCAAAAAACAGTTATTTGACTCAATTATAGTTTAAGTAATGGGAATTGGTTCGAAATTTTTAACATAGATCCTTTATTAAAATAATTGCTTAATTTATCAGCAGTGTAGCCAAAGTATTAAAATACATTCCTAAATACATTTTAAATATATTTTACAATATCTTAACATTGTATGAAAAATTAAATGTACAATGCAATTTATCATAAAGTATTCACATTGGCAACCAACTTTTAATATTTCAACAAGACTTTTTCTTTTTTTTTTAATGATATATATTAATACTGTTCAGATTCATTGGAAATTGAAGTTACACTTGTTTTCAAATATGAGATGTTTACATAATTAATCCAACTGCAATACTTACTGTGAGATTTTAATTAATCTCACTGGATTTTCTAAAATTTAGTTTTCTACTTTATCTCTCAAATAATACATCATTTGTAATGTTAGATAAATTGGCTCACATCTGGATTTCCACTTAATGTCTTAGAGATTATATATTGAGTCCTTCCAGCCTCCCCTCTGTAAGCAAGAGTTCTTTTAGGCCTGAATGTTTATATATTTAATATATATAACTTCTTGTTTTTTTTTTTTTGTTTTTTTTATCCACTGTGCATATTTGTTTTCAGTCTTCAATAGGATTCTTTCTTAATTTTGTACTCTTAGTAAAATATTTAGATTGACAAAGAATCTCTGTCCAATTTTGTAATTATAACATCCCACTTTGGTCCTGTCTTGTTTCTTTAATTCTTATAACACATTAGCATGTTGCATACACCTTCAAGATTATTATTCTTTAGACTGATATTTTTCTTTCTCAGAGTTTCTTCCCTTGGATATCCAGACACCTTGCTTCTTTGTTGTCAACATTTTTTTAACCTATGTTCAAATTTGACTTTCTCTAGGTTTTTCATTCAAAATTACTATGTCCACTTTAAGTAGCAAAAACAGGCTCCTGAGTACTTTCGATATACAAGTAAAATCCAAATTTATTTTTTAATAAAGCAAAAATATTCATTCATTAAGGTTTTAATGTTTAATAAATTACTTCAGTTACAAAAAAGTTATGTTTTTCTTGTTCTGAGTTGTCCCAGTGTTGCGTTGTCATGGTGCTCAGATGTTGGTCTTGAGTTGTCCTGCACTCCATAAAAGGGCAGTTGGCTGTCATAGCGCTAAAGTCACTAAAAATGCAGCTATAAAATCAGTACTATTAATGGACTGTGATATACACAAGAATCTCCGGTAGGTGTCACTATCACAGGATATTGATGAGTATAACACTGCATTTTTTAACGAAATCTCTCTTACATGTTTGTCAGGCACTGTATCAGAAGTTCACAAAAGAATCATTTTATCACATAAATAACTTAAGATATAAACTTCTGCCTGCACACTGTCATGGTTGCTCATTTTGTTTCATCAATTTATTGTTCCCTATCCTAGCACTACCAAAAATATAGTATTCTTGGTATTGTCATTTAGCAGTATTTTTGATTTTCACAGACATCTCATGTAGCATAGGCAGTAATCAGATTCTACACAGATTTTTCCCAGTGGAGATTTTTTCCTGCAGAGATTTTAGGAATTAAATCCTTGCAACTTTGGTAACTTCTTTGCTCAAAACTAATTTCACATCAAAAAGCAGCAAACTCTGTTAAAAACTAACAACTGAAGAATTTAAAATTTAAGGATTTGCCAAGTTAATTGTCTTTTGGTGGTAAAATTATTCTAGTAGTAACATGTAATATTTCGAGAGACCTCTTTGTGAACTTGTTGATGCTAGAAACTGGAGGATAGATTAGAACTGGACTTTGCCATCTTGTCATCTAGTCTATCCTGGTGTTCACTGTGTGCTGCCCACCCCCTCGCCCTGAATATTGTAGGTTGTTACACAGCTAAGCACTTAACCAGTTCCCACTACATATCTGGTTCCAAATCCAGAGAGAGATATTCATACCTATTTAGTGTATCTTAGTCAAATATAACTGATAGAGCCCATTTCTCTCCAGGTTAAACCTCACCCAATGTCCACCAATTTTAAACCAAGCCTTGGACACAGATATGTGGCCATTGATTCCAGCAGGGGAATCACCCTGGCCATTGACTTGAGTCTAGGAAACCTTCTATCCAGTGATATTGTATCATTGCCACACTGGCTGCATATGTAGCTGTGGAGCCCAGTCTACCCCACCCCATTGTGCTAGATGGCCACTGACCCTACAAGAAGGTTCATCCTTTGACAGGTCTTGTTTCTAATCCTGATGGGTGCCTATTCACAATCTCACCCAAAATACTTGGTGAGGGAACCAGTTTAATTGGTGATGGTCTAACAATGTAGCAGATGCTACATGGTTGGATCTGAGTTACATTATACGAGCAACACTCATAGAATTGCCTGACATAAATTCAGATAGAACCACAACAAAAACACCCAACTTTACTATACTGAGATTTGTAAATGAATGTTAAATATTTTCTAACATTTCTCAAAGCAACATTATTGTATTTGTGAGGAAACATCTTGGCATTTAGCTAATTATTTCAAAAGATGTTATATAACAGTCATGTCAAATTGAGGGCCACGTGGTCACATTTGTTGTCATGAGGCCCACATGATAACCAATTGTGCACATTACAACTAATCGGAGTCATTTAATAAAATTTATTGCATTATATTTTTATTACTTAAATTTTGAATCACACAATGTGTATAGAAATGTTTAACCGGGATTCGTGTATATAAAGTAAGGAAGTCGTTTGATAAAAAATAATAAAATTTTAAACAACAACATATACTTGCAGTTTAAAACAGCAACAAATACAGAGTACAAAAATTACAAGAGTTCAAAACTGAACATTTATTTGCCATTATTCAGTCAGTTTTAGTATTTTTTGTCCTGAGGCTTGACACTTCTTTTTACTGACAATTTTTAGCATGTTTGGCTGAAATGTCTGTGCAGTTTCAATTTTTGATCAGAGATGACAAATCTTGATCAGTTAGTATTGTTCAAATTTTTGTTGATTTTATGAAGGAAAATAACTGTTCACATACATGTAGAACCAAACATTGCCATAATCTTTCAGAAAGTTTGCCACAGTGTTGGCAGGAAGGTATGTAAAGAACTGAATTATTAGCGATCATTATTATGGGAGACCTAAACACCAAAGGCAGGGGATATAGCAGGAAGATTCAGACTAGGAACACACAATGAATGCAGAGAAAAATGGATCCAATGATGCACAGCCAATGACCAGGTAATAGCCAACACATGGT